GAGCTATTTTTAATCTTATACTTTGTGAAATGATTTTCCATAGGTATGTAATCGGGATAATGCTCTGGAGGACTGAGAACAAGGCTTTCAAATAAATTATTTCAGCATTTACTAAAACTGCAGTAGGGCTTTGTTATTGAATCATCCACAGGAGTCCTTTCTTTGTTTACACACTACTGTCGTAAGCATTATGCACTGATTAGCTAAAACCCCTAGAAAGCATTAGTGCTGCTTTAAAGCTTTATTGCATTGTCTGAAATAATTTTTCAAAACCTTTTGAAAAGGTTGCATTAAAATTCTGCAAGTATAAACCACCAATGAGCACAGATGTGTGATGTATCTCATAGCATCTACAAGTGCTAAATTACATCTAAATAGTAATATAATCTTCTGGGGGATTAATTCACAAATTCTACTTTCACGGCATCTTGAGCGTGAATTTCTACTAAAAATGGTACAGTTTTCCTTACAGTTTACTGGTTAGGGGACTAACTGTGAATCAGTATCACTCAGAGACTGTCATAAAACTCATGACTTTCAAGCTTTTAGATGTTGCAGTATTGGATAAATCCTATTTGCAAGCTGATTAATGTTTGTGTCCATTCCAAATAATTTCAGTAGCTGTAGAAAACAGTTAATGCCCTGATTTCCACTCTATATCTAAAAGTTAATTCCAATAGCGTATTTTGTGTTACAGGAAGCTTTTCTGAAAAGAAATGCAGATTATTTTCTATTAAATGAATTTCTGTGCAGAATGTCATTTATTAACCATCTCTACCTTATATCAACTTATGTGGATTGTTCAGTAGGTTTATAATTGAAAAGAACAGTGTATATTTCTTACTGTACTTGAAAATGTAGAAAACCTTAACTTTGATAAGAAAGATATCTAGCTTTTTTGACAGGTAAATTTGCATGCTAATGACAGTCCACTCAGTTCCCATCTGTATTGCCTAATGAAATAATAAACCAGTTTGAATCAGAATTACCTGGTTGTTAAAAATAGTTATCACTCCTTTCTGAGAGGCTGTTATTGTGAAATCCAGACGGGATACCTTCACTATACCCTTAATCACATCTTTTCTCTTGACAACTGTCAATGAAAAAATACTTCTCATAATCTTACAGACACAGAAAACCAAAACAAATAGAACTATAATAGCAGGAACATTTTCTCTTCCTGAAATGAATTTTGGTACCAAATCCAAGGCAGTGATGCATTATATCATAGATTATCCTATATTTGACTTAATTAAACATGTTACATTTTTAAATATCATTAATGGATTATGGATGTGCTAGTTCTTCTTACATTATTTCAAAAATACAGAAATACAGAGAGTAACTGCATAAATTACAGTCTGAGTTAGAAAAATTCATAATTTCAAAGCAATTTAGGAATATGAGAACTGCCAAAAACAGCAGTGGAGTGTTCAGATGCAGTGAGTTTAGTAAAAAAAACATATTTTGGAGCACATAAGAAGTAGAATCTTGAACAAGCTAAGACAGACATGTGAACTTATCACAAGAAAGTATGCAACACACCACATTAGAAAGAAATAGGCTTTGATACAAGATGAAGTGCATCACCTGAATCAGTAATCTGCTTTTTTTCAGATACAAGGAAAACCATGCTTTCTTTTGACTGGGAAAGCGGGCCATCACTTTCTCCTGTGAAACAGCCAAAAATCTAAACAAAAAACCCAAAACAAACAAAAATTAGAACCAACTAAGTAATTTATTGCAAAACTACTTATGGAAGATGTGCTTATATGTATGAAGTCAAATAGTTATCTCACATTTTAATCTAATATTCTTTGAGTGAGTTTCTTCAAGTTGTTTCCTTTAACCATTAGCTGTAAATATGGCTTTAGTTTGCTGAGATCTGCTACTCAGGCACAATCTTTCTTCAATATTTGTAAAGAAGCAAGAATACACAGGGTTTCTAGGAATAAAACCCATCTATTTGACAAAGCTTTTAGTTAGTACAGCTTTGCCTTGTAATTCAATTTTCTTTTTAAAATTCTACCTACTTGTGCTTCCTTACCTAGGCCCTCAACTAGAAAAAAAAAAAAAACAAACAGTAAATTCAGGCAAAACAGACTCCTCTGTATTTATAAACTGAGATATTCAAAGTAGTATAGCGGTTTAACCTGCACAGAGGAAGAGCTTTTCCATAAAGACATTTAAATTCCCATTTGCTGGAAAAAACTTCTGAATATAAAGTCCATTTTTTAAAATTCTTTCTTTGACCATGTCCCCAAGTCTGGCAATGTTCCATTTGTGCTGAACATGATGGAGATCCCTACACAGATGTCCAAGTGGGAGCTCATTTCTGCTCCAGGGTGTGAAATTTTCAGCTGAAATGCTCTCCAAACCGCAAGCTCTGTACCCAAAAGTAGTTTAGTCATTTCCTTAGGAAATTAGTTAACCCCACTCAGCTGTACAGATTTTTAAACTCTTTTCTCATATATGGACATTGTATATACTCACTTTCTTCCATGAGTTCTGAAAGCAATGCCACTTTGATGCAAGACAAAACTTAGCACTTTTTTCTAGTTCAACATTTTCTGTGTTATACAATAGAATTCCCATTTTCCTTCTTCAGGAGATTCAGATGTACATCTTTCAAAAATACATTCTCACACAACATTACTCTTCACCTTTCACTTCACAGCTCCCTCCTTCATTCCTTACATGATTATTATCAAACATCACCAGTCAATACATTATGTATTAGAGACTCTTACACTTCTCTTTCTAGTTTCTTGTGCTATCACTGTGTCTTTCCATCCTGTATCCAAACATTGGGGCTAGTTGTCTTGTACTTCCATGGATTTTTTCTCTTCTCGTTACTGAAAGGAGTGACATTTTACTTTCTTAAGTGTATGTACCCATTTCCCAGGCAGAGGAGAACAGACCTGTCAACTTTTTGGGGACTAAGGTTTTGGTAGGAGGACTTTTTCCTTTAAGGACAGACTTATCCAGTATCAGGTCCCTCCTGAGTCCTGACAGCATGCCAGGTGCAGTGGTTGGGCTAAGCCAGCAGCTGCCTTAAAACCAGCAGAGATGAAAGACATGTAGGTGTGTCCTGTCTTGCTTCCTGTAAACATGTGATGGTGTCATATGTGATCTTTTTGCTCCTGCCCAGCATGTGGAACACTGCCGAAAGCAAGGGCATCTTAGAAATCCCTTACAGCTGCCTAAATGGCTTCTGCTGACTTCAACATGGAAACAGCCCATAATGTCTACCAAAGGTTGGCAAAGAGCATAAAAGGTGAAGCAAAATGCAATTTAAACATCAGATGATTATCACTGAAGAGATACAGCTGTCTAAGAGCCAGCTACGCTTGGGAAAGAGATGCAGAAGTTAGTTTCCCAAAGCACTGATAAATTATAGACTCTTAAACTGTCCAAGATAGGTCTTTTAAATTGTGAAGCCACAAATTTTTTTTTTTTTTATTTTTTTAATAAAAAACTGTCCTTTGAGCATGGGTGTACTATTGTGGAGACTACTGAAAACTTACAAAACCCTTCAACATGAAGGTACTAGAAAGAGAGAAACATCAGTAAGTTAAAGAAATAGGAACACTCACACAAGGTCATGATCTTTTAGGTCATGAAAATACATTTGGAAGATATTTTTCAAGCTAAAGAGAGGCCAGATATGGAAAGGTAAATTTGGAAAAAAATAGATCTCTGAGAGTAGGAAGAGAGAAACAAAGGGTCGGGGACAGAGTTATGGGAAAGAGGGGCAGGGGGAGAGAGAGACAGAGATGATAAAAGACGAATATCAAAGGAACAACATGAGGTGTATCCCTCTTTCTTGACCTTCAAGACTGACAGTGTGCTCAGCAGTGCCAAAAGCATCAGGGGAACTCAGAATAACAGAGTTGAAATACCATACTTTTGGAAAAAATAATTGGGAAACTGGAGCACAGAGAGCAGAAACCACGAGGGCTATTTAGGATGTTACAGAAAGTAACTGTTATTAATAACAGATTTGAAAAATTAAGTGATATAAAGGAAGTTGAGGCAAGGTCAAGGCTACTTACATTGTTCACAGGGGGCAATTAAAGGTATGTCCAAGCCGAAGTTTATAAATATGATTTGCCTAATATAACTTGTAGGTTGACGAACATTGAACGAATGCATCAGGTAAGGCGGGACTTTCTGTCTCTTTCGCCATCTCAAACATCAGTGGGTCTAAACTAGGATAACTAGAATACTTTCCAGTCTTAAAAGGCCAATAATCATTTCCATAGAGTTTTCAAGCATGTAATGGAGCAAATTTGTATGTAGTTTGTTTTTGTGTTTCTTTGGGTTGTTTTGGTTGTTTGGATTCTTTTTGATGGGCTGTTTGGTTTTGTTTGTTTTGTGGGTTTTGTTGTTTTTTTTTTTTTCTCAGGAAAAAAATGCTTCACTTAAAAGGAATGAAAAGACTAAAGAGTATGAGAAAACAAAGTGGGATTTAGGCTGGTCAAGTGTTAAATATAATCAACTGAAAAATAAAAAATAAAATAAAAAAAGAAGAGCTACAGATATGGGTGGAATAAAAAAAGGGTCTACGACCACCCTCACCAGTAAGTAAATGTATACACCTTTGATTGTCAAGAGGTGAAAAAGAGATGAAGAGAATTCAGAGCTGTGCTACAGCTACACTTATAAGTGTCTGGCATAGCTAGCCACTCAGAACACTGGCTTCATTCCTGACATTAGTAACTCTACAGGATTACCTGAACCATTTTGAAACTGTAGAGTCTGTCAGAGAAACACAATTTAAAAAGACCATCACGACATAATATATAGAATACAAATAGATCCCATTTTATTTTGTTAGAACCCACTAAAGTGATCCTGTAAGGATCTATTTTGATCCAGTCATTAGAGATAGGATGTTGTCACAATTACAGGAGATCAAAAGCTGATGCTGAAGTTATGGTTAATGTAAATTTGGCTTAGACCACAATAAAATGATCAATTAAAGAATTATTCTGTTTCCGTGTAAGCTAACTCTGGAGAATTCCAGGAGTCAGCGGTTTTCTTAGTTTTTATCTCTTTCTCTCTACCAAGACTCCCAAATCTGATCCTTTTTTTTTTTTTTTCCTGAAAGGAGCTTGTATTTATGTTCTGAAATGAATAGATAGCTTGTAGTACAGACCATTAGAATTCTCACTAAACAAAAAGAAAACAAAAAAGTGAAAAACTCACTACAGCTTTTCAATGCAATATTAGATTTCAAATCGTGAAGGATAAGGCTGTGTCAAGTTAAAGAAATAAATGCAACACTGAGTCTGATTCAAATAGTCTGATCTTTGTTTCATAACTGAATTATCATTTCTATCATGGGTGAATTTTCAGTTACTTTATGTTAATTATTTCTCCCCGCAAGGGAAAATAAAGGGAAAGAAAAAAAAAACAACTTTAATCAGGATTCTTTTGAACAGAGAAATAACAAATATTTCTGTTTCGTTCCCTACAGCATTCAGTATAGTCTCACTGATACACATCTTCTACATGAAATACATTCTCTGAGATGCTGAAGATTAATTGTTTACCATGCGCTGCTTTTTTCAAGAAAGGTTATGCACAAGGCATTTTAAAAGGCTGTCATCGGTCAGCTCACACTTGGTAAAATTTGAGGAATGCTCATAAAAAGGGTTCTGGGGAATTTTATTCCAGGCAATTCCCCCACAGATTTCATAAGGAAACTAATGGGGCTTTGCATTTTTTATTACACCCCTTACTGTGCTTGCTTGGATAATTATGTAGTTCAGGTCACTAGTATGACTGCATGAGAAACTCAAGTAAGGTTTTGGAGTAAAAGACACTCCAGTAAACGAAAAGAGCTTCCTATAGTTCTCTTATAAGCCAATAAGCCTGAACATAATTTGCCACTGTTCTGCTACCCTAAATGAAGGACCATCAGTCCTTCAGACTGTCAGCTGTTTTCCAGATTTGCCCCAGGCCCTCCCTGAAGGAAATCTTTAATGCCTGACATGAGCAAAGTCTGCAAGTAATGTGACACTGTAAGTAGAAACAATGCTAAGAGAGGTGTTAACCAGAAATGTTCCCAGACATAGCCTTATCAAATAGAAAGGGCCAAACACAGTGTTTTTAAGTTGATATTAGGAAATTACTTGACAGCAGTTGTTGATAACATGTAAAGAACAGGTGTTGGGTATCTTCAAAGTTCAAATAATAGTGTGATGTTCCAGAGCAATGTAAAATATAAATATGCTGATGAATTTATAGTTCACCCCACTTCACTTATCAATACCTTCTATAAGGCTTTAAGTCCAGTAAGTGATTGCCATGTATGAAATGCCACTTATGCTATCATAGGAAAGTCACTGAGTGCTGGAAGTTGTCCCATTGGCACAATTCAGTCGTCAGGTCAGAAAGAAACAAAATCTTGTAGTAATATGTGATGATGGATGCTTTTGATACAGATTGGCTCTAACAATCTAAGAATCAGACATTTTTATAGAACAGTTACTTGAAACAATATCCATGGGAAATATCTTAATAAAAGACACATTTCTAGAGCAAGTGTTCATTTCTCATAACATGCAAATACAAAACAGCACTACGTTTCAAAAAAAGCAAGACAAAGCTCTTTTTCGCAAAATTAAAAACTGGATATCCTTTTTAGGTGGATGCAGAAGTAACTTACAAATGCATAGATTAAAAATCCATGAAGGATATTAAACATGGAGTGCAGTTGCTGCTCTGTCAGAGAAAATCCTTAAGCTGTGTGCAGCCAGAAGCAGGGAGGGTAAACCAGATCTATTGTTTCATAGTTACCTCATTCTTACATGCTTTTTACAAAGGTTTTCTTTTTGTCACCACTGGAGATAGAAAAAAAATAATTACAGGGTACTCACTCATCTACAAAATCAAATAACACATACATAATGCTCTGATTAAAAAACTTTCTATTAAAATGAAACCATACCTCTAACACTTCATATTTAAAGGCCAGATTTATGCCTGTAAACACGTGAAGAGAAAGGAGAGGAAGCAAAGGTAAGAGAAAAGAGGAAAGAGAAGAAAGAGAGGAAGCCTTTCTGATTGTTTAAATAGACTTATCGTCAGAGCACGCATGACATACTGTAGTCATGAGGGATTTTGCCTTTTGCCAGGAAGCCTGAAGACAATGCATATCACTGAAGTATTTCAGAAGACCCGGACATACCCAGGCTCTGGGCAGCTAGGGTAAATAACAACATGAGTGTGCTCCTTTAAGCCATGAAGCTCATAAACAACAGGCTCATGAACAACACATAATCAACAGATAAATACTTTTATCATTGAAGATTTTAATTAGGTTTTTTATATTTAATAAAATTTCAGAAATCCTTACCTCTAACCAGTCTGGCATGTCAAGGTTGTTGATAGCCTTCCTGAAAAAAGCCTGAATATTATGGTCCTTAACTGCTGAACCAAAAAGTGCTCTTGTGGTTTTATAGAATTTATCATAGTCTATCTCATCTGTATGGGAGGAACAATATCCACAGTTTAAAACTGGCAAGCTACAGATTCCTTCTTGATTCACCCTACCTCTGATTTTATTTCTCCTTCAATATCAATAGCATGCAAGTTCTGACTCCTCACATTGTATTCACTAAGTCTTTGAAAAAAAAATCAGTCTTAATGTTTGGTCTTTTAAAAACTACCTAACTTGCAATGGATGATATGAAACAGATAAAAGAATAGGTAAAAGCTTCTCAACTCTTCTTTCTTTCCTCACTGTCAGACCATGATTCCTATTTGTTTCTCTGAATATGAATGGAGGGATAAAGTTTATCCTTTCACACAGCAAGAGCCATTTGCATCGAGAAAAGCAAAACTTTGTCCCCATTATTTACATTTAGCAACTTGGTTTACAACATTCATCAGGTTTGTGCTCTTACAGAAACATCGCATCATGCTATATGTTCTAACTCCACCAATTATATTTTGGGAGTGATCATCACAGCCTTATAATTTTGCCAGAAGTCCTAACAGGATTACAAAAGCACTCTCATAGTGCAATCTGCCTATTTCCTGTAAAAATCGCACAGAACATTAATTTGAGATTTTTCTTACAATCTTCTCTCTACGACACATTCTCTCCATACAAAAACTCCACTTTTCCATCAGAAAGAATATCTCTTACCATCTTCTTCAGTATATAAGCCTGATCCCTCCTTTGTCTTCTGGATTATCATTTTTTCAACTAGTTTCTGGAACTGCTCCAATGCATTCTTGAAATCCAGTGATTTAAGAGCAGAGCAACCCTCCTTAACACAATCCTTCTTCTCAGACATCCTTTATTAACAGGGGACAAGGTAAGAGGGAGAGCTCTTACAGCCATGTCCAAGCCTTGCTTTGCTCCTTAAATCTTAAATTCCCACATGAGTTCATATGACATGAAGCTGTATGACAGGTATACCAGAAATTACATAATGATGTAACTACATAATAATGTTTTAGCATCTCAAGCTGGAAAATGCTGTAGTGAACTGCTGATGTCACAATCCCCCATTACATCACAAATCCTACTTGCTGAGTGGTCCTAGGTCATGAATCAGAATCACTACATAACCCAGTATGTGAGATTATTTCATGTCATCTCATGTGACAGAACAGACCTTGAGGTCTTCTACTTTCACCTCATTTATGTTTCAGATCATTAAATATCAACTATTTATTGAGCCCCAAAATTTTGCTCTAAAGTATAAGTCATGGTAAGGTGCCAAGTTTTAATCTTCAGACACAAAAAGATAGAGAGAATCCATCATGTTTTTTCCAAAGGTTAATTGCTCACACTATTAAAATTTAAGGCTTTTATATGACTGTGTGGCTTCAGCTTCCATTCAGCAGTTCTTGGAATGTTTTAATTAATTTAGAGCAATAGTTGGTAGTAGGGGCCTTTGTACCTGGACTACTTCTCCATTTTTTTTCTCCTGTTAATTAAAGCAAACTGAACTTGCTGCATCCTACTGCAACACTTTCCTTCAGACCTCAGTATAGTATTTGTGATTATTTTCCACATTTTTCATCTTTTCAATATCTTTAAAGAATACTGGTGCCATGTTGCTATGCTATAGCATAAGATGCAAATTGGTACTGCAATAAAATGATGGATTTCAGACTATTTGTTAAACTCACTTTTCTGTAGACCACGTTGATCGATTTCTTTATATTGTTCTTTAGTTGTTTATCTCCCGATCCACTTTTCTATTACTTCACTCAAGGCTGATGGCAGGCTTATTGGTCAAGGCTTCCTTGAATTGCTGAGCACAGAGCCTTTGCTTTGTGGAGATTCTGTAGTTGAAACGAAAGGAGAAACTATATTTTATACTTTTTGTGGCAATTTAAAGGATTGCTATAACTCAGGCATATTTTAAGAATATCAAAGTCATTTCTAAACAAAACAAAACCAAACCAAAACAAAAGAGAGAAAGGCCATAAACTTCACACGCACTTGGAAAATCAGCTAAGCAATATTTTTGAAACATATAGGAAAGACAACTAATTGGTATTAAGCAAAGTTACTGAAAATAATGCAAGTAAATATCTCTGCATGAAATAGCAGAAAAAGTGGTGTGTCATTATATGCTACCTAACACAAGCAATCCCAGTTCTTGAAGTTCTATCATATCCACTGGGAAGACCACAAAAGTTTCTGGATACTCCTGCTCAACTGCAATGGGCATGTTTTTGACTAGAATAAGGAAAACAGTTTGGCAGAGAAAAGCAGCAATGCTCCTAGAAAAGGAAGAGATGGTTTGAGGATATATTTTTGCTAATTCCAACAGTAATTCTCCAGGAAAATATTTCCCTTGTGTATCAAAGTACCCAGTAGCTGCTCAGGTACTGTATCTTGGTCAGAGTTATGGTGTATTTGATATATTGCTTCCAGCTGAATCCTTGTTTGCAGTGCTTCCTGTTGATTCATTTTTCCAGTCTGTGTCATCTAAGCTTGTATGATATCAGACTATATTCTCCTTTCCCAATTAATAACAGTGGTTTAAAGTTCACGAAAGGTATTAACATCCATCCTCAGAATGGGAAGGTTAAGAACAGAAAGCATTGTTTTGTTCTCTTGCAAAAACTCATGAGGAAACTTCATGTTACGTAACACAATGAAAAGACACGGAAACCCTGAATGAGGAACCATTCTTTCCAGTACCAGCTGATTCTGTTGTCTTCAATGTTTAAACTCAAAAAAAATGTACAGTAAAATTTTAAAATAAGATGTAATGACTGATTGGACTGAAATACAAAAGTGGAGAAGATAGGAATTGTATTAGAAGATAAGCAGGAAAATTCAAGATTAAATAAATGAGTAACAGGAAGTCCTTGCATTAGTAAGGCTACAGAAGCAATAACTCAATGAAAAGCATTTCCTTTCCTATCTCTCCTACTGATACTGTGGAAAGCACTGGATATGGATTATAATAGAACTGATTATTATTCAGAAGTCAATACTCTCAACTCTCCTCTTCTTACCACATAATCATATTAGTCTCAATTACTGGAAATTATCAGACCTGTACAAAGTTAATTATATGTATGTTTGTACGGGTGCAAAGAACAGCTAAGCTACAGCAAGTTGATTGCAGGAATGGCAGTTCATTTGAAAAATCAATAATTTTCAATCTTTATCTCAGGAACTATCATAAGCCTATGAAATTGCATGCAAGTTTTAAAATTCTGACCCTGTAACTTGAGAGCTCATAATAAATAACCCAAAATTACTGCAGAAGAAAAACAGCAAAAGGTGATAGGTCTTCTTTCCTGCCTGTACCAGGCTGCCAGCCACTCTTCCTGGTAGTGTCCTCCAAAGGCAAATTGTCCCCAAGTAAAATGATGGTTCCAGAATAGCCCAAAGAAAACACAGTAGATCTAAAATGGCCTTAGTTGCCCTTAAAGAGGCTCTGGCACATATGAGAGTTTGTTTCTGTCTCTGATTTTGGTCCAGATAAAGTCCAGCCATTTAACAAGGAAACGAAAAAACAAAACCAAAAATAAAACACACGACAAAAAAATAACAGCAACAAAACCACAAACAAACAAACAAACAACAAACCCCCAAAACAAGACAAACCAGCAAACAAACAAAAAAGAAAATTATTCTCTGAAGCTGTTTTCTTTTGGCATGTTTAATTCCTTTGAGCTAAGTTACCTATCCTTTGCCATTTCTTCCTTATAGACATGCCCTGAAAACCGGCTGTGTTTGCAGTTGAATCAGGATAGAGCTGCTTAAAATTGGATAAACACTCTGACCAGCATGGGGTTGGGCAAGTAATTAATTTTAGCATTGTAAAAATTGAATTTCTTCCATGAAACATGTTTAAGGGGTGCTATCATGTTCACATTTACATTACCTCACTCTTTTATTCTACTGGTTTCATTTTTCACTTTGCTCTTTATATTATCACCCCACAAGTAGTATTGGGCTCCTTGCTATAAAAGTGCATTGCTCTTCTGTAACAGCAGCTGAAATGACCAAGTGATAATTTTAAAAACCATATTTCCTATGCACTATTTATTGATTTGTGTGTTGGAGTCTGGAAAATGATAACAGTGAGTTTGTAATCACTTTTACTTCATGTTTGTCTCACTAACAAGAAGCCACAATGTAAGTATGAACTCTTATTCAAGGTTATTCCTTGAAAAAAACCCTAGTGTATATCACAACTGAATTTCACAGGTTATTGTTGCAAAATCTGGTGATACAGGTCTTACATTGGTTTTACAGTGCTAGTGTTTATGGTTCAAGCTGCCCTGAGCTGTGCCTATACAACCAAGGGAGGTACAATGTCAGCAGGTACAGGTATATATCACCACTTGTTTTAATCTACTTAGCAAGAAGCAAGTGCCACAAAGACATCAATATGCATCTGCCACCTGAGCATGTACCACAGTCTTGTGGTACATGCAGGTTTGTATAGCCAAGATGAAGTTCATCTCATCTAACTCAGACATCTAAAAGTTAGTCATTTAAGTCACCTTACGTACCAGCCAATCATAATAACCACTTTTAGAGAAGGATTATTCTTACTGGTCTTAGGTGCTTAATTTTCAAATACATCATTTAGGTGAGATGAATCACACCTGCAGCTAGTACAGCTATTTGTACACATATCAGGTATATTAGAGCTCACACATCATGGAGCAGCCTGCAGCCAACTTCCAACTGCAGCACAGGTGTTCTGTCAGCACGCCATCATCTCCCAGGATTGTCCACCTGGGTCCACACCCTGCTGCCCAACTTGTGCTTGCTTCAGTGAACCATGTCTGAGACAAGCACTTTTCTCAGTCCAGAATATCTTCAGATTCTTGAAACTTTTCCACTTAACCTGCTTTATGATTTAAAGTTCACATCCTAATAAGGACTAGATTATGTAGCTAGGATTAAAAGTTCTGCAAGATGAAGCCCTAGTTTTAAACTTTTGCCATTACACCTGTGCATTTTTTTTACTCACACATTGCATTATTAACTGGTGTAGTTCTATGTTAAAAGGCTTGTTTTAGTGCCAAGTGGTTCAGAACAGATGAAAGACTTTTTCTACCTGCAAACTCTCCCTTGCTCTATAGATATACACTGCAGCTCTACAATGAATAATCACTTGATTTTCATCTGCCTTTAAGGCTAAAGAATAGCAAAAAGAACACGTAAGAAAAGAAATGCCAGAAGAATACTGTAAAAATGGTAATTAAAAAGCTGAAGCCAGGTAGCCAGAATTTTTGGGACATTTTGTTTTGTTTTCAGAGGCCTGTGGTTTGGCTGTATACGATGCCCTTTGAAATAGTAAGTTTTACAAAATTCAGAACAGGTAGCAAACCCCCAGCATTATCTGAATCCTAAAATAAGTGTATTTAGTATGGACAAAAGCTTGACTTTCCTGCTAGCTCTCTGCTTGTCAGGAAAGATGGGAAAGAGCCTGTGACTTGAAAGACAGGCTAACAGAAGATACAGAACCGAGAAAAGGAATGAAAGCAACATATAAGTCAGTGAACAAATGTGAAATGAAATAGGTCTCTTGAATGCCTTAAAAAACTCACTGCAAAAGCCCTGACACTTTTGATGCTGCAGTTACTCCTGGGAGTCATGGTTTGTGGTTTGTATTTCTACGCAGGCTTAGAGAGTAGCAGTAACTTTGACACTTTATTTACTCTGCTTCAGATTCTTTAAGTCTAATATGTGAGAGACACTCGATGCTCTGATGTGCTGAAACATTTCAAATTACTAAATACAGCAAAGTCAGGGAAGTCCCAGACATCTGTAAGCTTTCCAGTTTTGAATTATTATTTCCAAGGCTGGCTTTTAAGGTTTGTTTTACACATATATAAGCACATGTCAGCCAGCTGAAAATTTACAGCCAATGTATTTTTTCATTCCATGTAACTTGTGCGTAACAGATAACATGTTAAAAATACTGTTGAAGAAGTGACCTAGAAAGTCCTTGGGAGTTTCAGAGACTGTTTTTATAGTACAGGACTGGGGACTTTGTATTCATGCTTCTTATTGTACTTTTTTAATCCCATGAACTCATCTACATATATATTTAGTACTTTGAGTTGACACACTTCCAGTAAGCCACACACACACAGTTTCGGAAATGCAAATATTGCATTGTGGTTTATCCTTTTATGCCACTGTAAAAGTAAAGGTAAAATCCTTTTTGCAGCATTGCTATTAATATTCATGCATGTTTGATGAGCAGGGTCTGGTCCAAATACAAAATAGTGCAAACATGAAGCCTTGCAAAGCAGATGTCTGGGGTTTTAAAATGTTTCAGCTTTTTAATTGCATGACAAGCTAGAAAAGGATTGAATAAAGAATTAATTAGATTATTAAAACCATAAGTGCAATGGTTCTAGACTGGGTTAGGTAAAACAGAAGATGGACTAGAATTAGGGGTCAGGGTTCTGTTTCCAGCTTTGCCTTTGACCTGATAATACAATAACAAAGCATTTCTTTTTGTTGTGCCTCATATGAGTAGTAACACTTCATGGAAGACAAATGGAACTCATTTGTCATGAAATATATGAAAGCTCATGAAGTATTTAAGAGCACTTGAATAACATTAGCAATAGCATTAGTGCTGCTGACTAAATTACGTTTCTCCTCTGCTCTTCTTACCACCTTTCCTTTCATTTTGAAGGGATAAAAAGATAGACAATTTAAGATTTACCTTTAAACGAAGGAGACAGAGATGTCTTCTTCTCATAGAGGTGTAGCATCAATTTGGTCCAGCCATGTCATTGGGAGACTTTCAGCATGCAGTGACTAGTCCTAAATGAACCCATGACTCTGTATTGATACAATATTTTTGAACAGAGTCTGACATGTACAGGTAATCTCTTGTATGGACAAGGAAAGACAAAATTATGCCTTCTCTAAAGCCTATGCTCAAGTACTGTATTACTGGAAATTTTGGAAGGTCATGTGTTCTATAAATACAGCTTTTATGAGGAAAAAAAGTGGTTTAAGAAAGGAAACTCCTACTGCCTTGGTAATGAGAAAAACCCTGAAGATCAGTGATAAAGAAACAGACTGAACTAGCTTTTCAAAGTAGATTTCAATTACTGATTAAACCATATTTGAGGGATTTAAAAACATAGAGTGTTAATAAAGTTAACGCTGATAAGAACAAATACTTTAATCACTGTTTTGTTTTTCTGATCTATGACTTTCTTTATTCCTAACCCTTGTATTACAGCATAGTTTGTCATATAAAATTGCCATGACAAGCACATAATTTGTATATAGATATGTGTTTTAAAAAACATCAAACCTACCTCAACTACCCATGTTTTTAGTCTCAGTCCACACAGAATCATGCCCTCAGTCTAGACCATAAGAGTGTATAAGAGAAGAAAAAACCTCCAAAACGGATATTTTTTCCCCAGGTAAATTTCCATGAAAATTCTGCTACTTTTGTAGACGATACATTCAACTTCTTCTTTTTTTCTTTTTTTTTTTTTTCCCTTTCTTTTTTCCTCAGCTAAATAAGGCTAAACTGAAAGTTTTATTTGAACCCTTGTGAAAACTGTCACACATAAGTACATATGTTGCTCAGCCAGTAAAGCAAACAACATAAAGGTCATCTCACTGAGAAAGAGCGATGCTTGGTCTGGCAAGGTGCTTTAAGGCATCAAGCCCTGCTAAGCAAAAATCATTGTGACATGTTCAGGAATGGGTTGGGTTTAGAGACAGCAAGGCGACCCTAGCACAGCTGGGGCTCAGGACAACACCCTGACCGACACCCATTAGAGCTGTACACAGCTTGGGCTTTCCTGTACTGTTTTCACACAACACACACTGGGGGCAAAAGTATAAAAACAGGCGACTTCGTGGTGCAAACTTTGGTGTCTTTCTTGCTCCGCGGCTGACAAAAACGTGTTCACTTGCACCACAAGTTTGCCGGGATCGTGGTGCGGCTGGTCACTTCATGAGCTTGCAACTCCTAGAGCCACCTGTGAGCACTGCAGGGGAGCCCCTGAGAAGAAACTATTGTCCTAACAGGAATTTTCATTGGCAGGACATCTGGAGAAGAAGTCTAAATACCTCTTCCCGGAGTTGGGCGCAGAGGTCTGTTCAAACGCGGCTTCCCTGAGGGAAGAGCTGCTGAGGGCAGCCGTACCGAGCCAAAGAGCACGGAAGATTTTTAAGGGAGAGGAGACGACACATGTCCCAATTGTGAGCAACCTCCTCACCTCGGTGAGAGAGCGAGCTAAGGTACCGCTACAGAAGCAGTACCACCCCGCTCCGCCCCAGGGCAAGCAAGGGCGAAGCCACTCGAGGGCGCGCCCTCCGTGGGCGGGGAGGCGGCGGGGACTCCTCCTCCTGTTCTGAGCCGTGGCCCGCGATGGGGCTGGGAGCAGGAGGGAAGGTTTAGCCCCGTTCCAGCCGGGCCGTGAGACGCCAGCCATGCCCTCCGGGAACGGCACGGGCTCCACCAGCCGCCCGGAGCCCGCAGCGGCCGAGCAGGAGGTGCCGGGCGAGAGGCCGCTCTTCAGCGCCGGCACCTACGAGGTGCTGGCGCTGCTGGTCGCCACCATCGGCATGCTGGGCTTGTGCAACAACTTGCTGGTCCTGGTGCTCTACTACAAGTTCAAGCGGCTCCGCACGCCCACCAACCTCTTCCTCGTCAACATCAGCCTCAGCGACCTGCTCGTGTCGGTGTTCGGCGTGAGCCTTACCTTCATGTCGTGCCTGAGGAGCCGCTGGGTGTGGGACGCCGCCGGCTGCGTCTGGGACGGCTTCAGCAGCAGCCTCTTCGGTGGGTGAGGGAACCGCGGTCGCCGCCTGTTCCTCGCTGTCCCGCTGGGTCCCTCCTTGCCTGCGTGTACCGGGGCTTCTCCGCCCCGTCCCCGCTTCCCAACTGTCCCCAACTGTCTCCAACCGCCCCGTCCCTCTCCCCACCTGCCCTCACCCGTCACTTCCCACCGCCCCAAACCGTCGCCTCCCGCCCTGCATCCCCGGGAGACGCCGCGCCCCTCGCAGCTCCGTCCCGGGAGGTTTCTTCCAGTGGCCACCCTGCGGGGCAGGAGCGGGCGCGATCCCGCTTCCGGCAGGGAGAGCCAGGGACCGGTGGGCGGCTGCGGCCGGGCTGGGGCACGGCAGAGATTTGGTAATCAGATCGACAGTGCAGAGGAAAACGATCCCGAGCAAAAAGTGAATTCTTCAAGAATCTGTTTCTCGGCCTCCCGCCCTTGCCGATGTGACGGGACACTTCAGGGGAATGGACAGCCTCGTTGTTAGGAGTAGTCTGGAGCTGACCGAGTGTTGGGCAGACTTCATGAGCATAAACGATTGTAATTTATAGGAGGAAGCGCTGCAGTCTGTGGATAGGAGCACGTATGACTCTGGGTGTAGAGCCAGCAGCTTCCCGCCTCGGTGGAACAGGTGGAAAGCTGGCTGCGCCCGGTGGCCTTGCTCCCTGGCAGCCTTCCCACTGTCTGGACTTGTTTAAAGCTACGCAGCGTGTGACAGTGCCTTTAATTTCCTTACCCGTATGTGAAATTCGGGTACTATCTTTGAGTAATAACAGTGTCACCTCTGCCTTTCGAGAAACCACCGATTCGTGTGAAATTTTAGCACTGCAAAAGGATCACTTAAAATATTTCCATTTCCAAAACCTATAAGGTCTTCCACTGGTTTCCTTCCTGAAATTCATACATACCCTTTGCAGAAGTCTGTGGAAGAGTAGGTTGCGTCCAGCTATGCATATGCAGTCTGTTAAAAGGAATATGGCTTTGTTTTTGTCTGTAAAAGATTGCTGCAAAAGCATAGGGTTGTATTTCTAATGGTGAAAGTAAATGTTTGGCTAATCAGGAACTAAATCCAAAGCTCGTGCCAGATACTTTTTTTCTGGGAGAGGTGTATGAATTACAGGTGGATCACAGTGCACCCACGCAACATGCATGCACTGAAAATGGCTCTAATAAGGCACATTAAAGTCTCCAGTAAGCTTTGTAGTTTTCCTGCGTATGTAATCTTTGTTTCACATGGCACTGTAGTCTGCCTTTGGTGGGCTACTGGGAGGGAGGTGCGTGGTTCCTCATGATTGATTTGACTGCTGCTGCACAGTGCAGCAAAAATCTTATGTCTTGGAAGTTACGGTGGATGCAGTATTTGTGCAAGGTTTGGTAGCAGATGATTTCTGCAGTGCACAGCTCTCAGACGTTTGTGTAGCTATTGTTATGGGGGAAAGTGGTAGACAACCTTGCAACCTTGCTAGACAACCAGCATAAATCTGCCTACATTGCTCAGCCTGTTCAAGTACTAGAGAAACTCAAGTGTCTGCCAACCAGATTCTGCCAGGCAGCTGAACATTAGGCTTACACAGGAGATGTAATGTTCAGTTCTGTTCCTATCTTTATCTCTTATGTATTATACTTAGTATTTTTGATGAAGTCATTTTGCATACAGGCTCAGAAAATAAGATAGATAGCAGGGTTAGTGTTAAAAGCTAGACTATAATAATCTTGCACCATCTTCTGAAATAGAAGAAATAGAAACAATGAAGTATGAAAATTCGCAAGCAAATTGTTTGACTACATGTGATTTTTAATTTCTGTTTCTTTTTGGGTGTGCTACATAATTTATTACTATAAGTATATTCAGTGTTGATGTTTTTCAGCACCCCTTTATTTAATAAATTTGTTCCCAAGGAACTGTAGACAAATTCATGGGCCTTATCTAAAGAGTAGTCAAGTTAGCATCAGGGGTTTGCAAAATTACATCTTCCTGTGGTTGGTCATGTTACGTTCCTCTTCCATAATGTGTTTCAGTGGGATTTTTTAAAAATTATTATTATTAGAAAATTGTGTGTTTGTGTGTGGTTGCTTTTAGGGAAATGGAGAGTAAATGAACAACTGAATGTGCAGGAATGATGTCTGAATTTACTTTTTTCAGCTGCCATGTAAAGGAATAGGAAATATTCAACTTGGCTGTATAATTGGGTGCTAACCTGATAAATTTATGTCTAATCTTAACCTTTACGTTTGTACACAGTATTGTTTTCATATTCTCATCTGGAAATAGAAATATCTTTTCTGCTTTTGAAGATAAGTGGTTCCCTAGCTGCATAGGGGAGCAGGGGCATGTCAATGCTGAGGAAAAAAAGATATAAATGATGCCCTGCAGGTAGCATCACGCTGTGTTGGCCATCTGGACTATTGCCACCACAGCTTCTATTTTCATTTTGTAATGGGTCTACGAAAAGAGCAGTAATTTGCAGGTTTTTTGTTTGTTTGTGTTTAGTGGGTTTTGTTGTTTGGGGGTTGTGGAGTTTTTTTTGTGGTTTGGTTTGTTTGTTTGTTTGTTTGTTTTAGGGGTTTTTTTGTGTGTTTGTGTGGTTTTTTATGTGGGCTTTTTTTCCTGGTGGTGGTGAAGATACTTAATAAAGATTTCATTCAGCATAACCAGGTAATATATACAGGAAAATATAACAGCTCAAATCACCTATTATCTTGAAGTGATGGTGGAGGGGAAAGTAATGTAATAGAAGTCTTGCCACGTATGTTACCTAGCAGTGCTTCTTAAAGCATAACACTTCCTCTTGGAACTTTTGGGAATAAAAGTACTTTCATTGATCTGAAGATGTACAAAATTGACAGCTTTTAAATCTCATTAATTTAGCAGAGTAGTTACAGCTTTGCAGTGCTCAGTTGCTCAGTAAGCCAGAACGACCTAATAAAGATATTTCTAGAATAAAGTCGTGGTAGCTCTGATACAATGAATATGGAGTCTGTTAAATCATAATGGATATTGTGAGAGGTTACTCTAGTGTTGTGGATATCTCCTGGGATTGGACCCAGCCCAGCTCATTTTACATGAGATAACCAAAACCTGTTTATTTGCAGCTGGGCAGTTTCATTCTTGGGTATGGTCTTGGACATTGCTGTATGAGCTTTTTGTGCCAGCTCTCCAGGTCCAAAGGCTGTTCAGTCTTAAGTTCAAATAAGAGAAGCTTCATGCATTTTCTTTTCTTGGAAGAACAAGGCCTCAGTACTTGGTGCAAGTTTACCTCTGCATTTGTTTGCCTACAAATTAGAGGTTCTCCTGACAGTAAACAAGTTTGGGACAAATTACTAAAACTGCTTTAAAAAAAGAAATAAGATTTTCACTTTAAATTCTGAGTTAATTCTCAAGGAATTTTAAAAATCAGATTCTTTCTAATTACTGCAGTTAATCAGGAATAACTCTGAAGATCATGATTATGCAGCTTTTTTAAATTTCCACAGGTGTTGTTGCAAGATTTTGGCTCATACTGTTTTGAAAGCCAAGATCAAAGTGCTTCAATGTTCTTCCTAAGGATGTCAATATGATTAAATATATAGGTATTGTTTATGCTTAAAACCAACTGGTAGCATCTGCACGTTCATAAATCTTTGTTACAAAATAATAGCAAATCTTTTTCCCCCTCACAGCAACAAGAAGGGCACTCTCTACGGTTCTCCTAATAATTTTGGATTGGAGAATCTGAACATTTTCTATGTAAGAGTTCTTCTCATTTTCCCAGGCATTTGAAGGCATGTAAGATCCAGAAGCTAGCCACTGTAAGCAGACGTTCATGGTCTGAAACTTGTAAGTTGAGAAGATGGCTGCAGAACTACAGATTATCTGTCTAGGAATAAATGGCTAGATTTTGTATTCAGTGTTATCATGACTTTATCATGAGAGAAGCCCATATAGTAATATCTGCTTCTTGAGTTGCAATGTACAGCTCTAAACCTGACTGTGCTACTGGCTACTTTTTCTGGGGCTTGAAAGTTCTTCATTGAGCTTTCAGAAGGTGCAGAGATCTGCTTTCTACAGTGCAAAACTGATCATTTTGAATACTGAATGTCTGTAATTGACACATAAGTAATAATCCTTATTTTCTTTTACTTATTAGAGTCTGAAGTCAGGATACAGTTTAGGCTATGAAAAGGGCTTTTTTTCTTGCTATTACAAAGCCATTCTTATCACCTCATGTACTAGTGTGGGGAAAATGACATAAATGATTAACTGATGAGTCTTAGTGTAAGCTTTGATGACGTAGTTGTCTGTTTTAGACAGTAATCCTCACTTAATTTTGTTATAGGGCTTTTTTTGTAACAGGTGATGTATCCTGATGTAATATGATGGTTGCTTCAATTAAGTGATGTATTTATACCATGAGGGTCACCTTTCTGTGGATGTGTGCAGTCAACTCTAATGCTGGTCCCACTGAATCTGCCACCCTCTCCTTATGTAACTAACTTTTTCCCAGTCCATAGTCAACCAAGCTGTAAGTACTGGAGATCTGTGTAATCTCTTTATCTGATTTAGTAATACAACTCTTACCTGGGAGGTTTGCTGTCTGTCACCGAGAGAATAGGGCTTTGGGTATAATATCTAGAGAGGATATCTCTTTATTTGCATCTGCTGGCTTCTCACCCATAAGGTGTTGTTTTTTTTTTTAAATGACAGTGATTGTCAGAATTAGATGTGCACAAGAGAAATTTGTGTCCTGCCCACCCCCAGGCAGTGGATGTCTGCTTTAATGCCTTCTGTATATGGGAGTAGTCCCTGAGGTAAGCTAGTCTGATCATGTGGAACATACACACGTACCTCTCAAGCATAAATCACTTCAGCTACAAGTAATGGCAACTAAACCATCTGCCATCAGTGGTGTTCTAACACTTTCTGATAAGTTTAATTGAGCAAAGGAAGAAAGGAGTAAAAAAACTGGTTAATAACAGGAATGGTCTTGAGGAACACATTTTTTTTTTAAGCAATCTGTTGACAGAAGATTGCACAGTAAGGGTGTACTCTGAGGTGTGCTTTATATTGTTAAACCTTGTTTGTGATCGAAAGGCTAATGTTACTGAAGTGTGATTAGTGACCTCTGTCTTTCCTAGCTGTAAGCTGCTCTTTAAGGGTAAAAAGTCCAT